GTCCTCCCTGTAAATTCAGATTTATATGGTATGAAGCTTGTGGCGAGATTAATTTATTTTCAACCTTGACATAAGTATTTCTTTCAAAAAATGGAAGTGAACTTGCGACAAGCTTGTATATCATATAAAATGTGTAACGTATTTTTTTTTGTTTTTAGGGCACGCAAATAAAACTCGGTTTTTCGGACATTTTTATACTAATGATTTGTTTTTAATTTTTTATTCATCACCGGACATATTTCTATTATTTTCATTTCATTTTACGATTCATTATTCATTGGTCGGTCTCAATAATCTTTGTTCGAGCAACTAACCTAACTTTACCTCTGCCAAGTTATATTTGAAATCGAAATGACGGATGTCTCCGCCATTTTAATTTTTTTCCTTCAACCTTGTTTTGTTGTTCCTGTCATGAGGGTACGTAAAAATAACTAGTCCATCATCTTGGGTGATCCGCTTCGTTGAGTTTAGAGAGACTTCATTCCATTTTTTGTCTTGTTTCCAGCAAACCCTTCCATTCCATACTCATATCGTGTGAGTGCAAAAACAATAATGAGCCCATCATCTTTGGGTGGTCCGCCATATTCAATGCAGAATAATATCATTCCATTGCTGTGTTTTTTTTTTCAGTAAATTATTTTATTCAATACTCATGTCGCAGTTTTACATTCAAAATATCTAGTCTGCCATCTTGGCAGTTCGCCATTTTGCGCAAAAGGCCACATTGGATTCAGAATTATATTATTTCAGTTTTTTCCAGGAAATTTCATCCGATGAGTCGGTACCATTTGTTTTCAAAATGTTTGAATTTGTATTCAGTTCATACCTAAACGTTGGTGAAATTATTAACCATTGAGTTGGTAGAAGATCATATGATTCAAACCGTTATATTTTATGCAGCACTTTATTATAATTCCAGAATAGTAGGCACTAAATTCTCAGAAATGACTTATGTTTTTGCCTCAATCTCTCTCTTGTAGTAGCACACGGAAATTATAATAAACAGATGAGGAAAAACTATGATAAAATATATATAATCACAACCTTAACAACGATGTTTTCGTTTTATCGAAAAAATATTACTGAAAATATTATGTATTGTGTACTATAATCAGGAATTAAGACAGTGTGAACATCCCTGGAAAATCTATTGTATAATGAAACCTCACGAGTGTTTTACTTGAAAACCTTAATACGGTCAATCCGATCACATGAATTAGATTATGATCAGTTTCATCATTTTTACGCCCTTTGTTTGTAGTATGAAAATTTGAAAATTTGTTCTGTGCAGACCACACGGCACTCACCCAGTAAAGTTATCGGTCAACCACCCAATCCCGCGTCTGCGGGTAACAGGCGTTGGCCGGTTTCAAGCTAGATGTGTGGGAGAGGTGCCTCGCAAGAGCCCTCGGCGGTTACTCAGCCAACGCTGGAAAGGTAACTTTCCTAACATGAGTGCCCCTCGGGGTAACGTAAGGGTATGCTTTTCCGTTTGAAAGTAGACATTCAAATTATATTTGAAGACATACAATTGAATAACTTGGAGCCTGATAGAGAGGATGATTTTTAAAATAATCTTGTATGATGTTGCTGCAGTTTGATTAGATTTCCATTTCTTGTTGGGTAACTGTGACACTTTGAATTAGTTTCAAACTCAGACTCCTTCTTCTTTACAGAAAGCAGACAATTTTAAATGCATACAGATGGAAGCGGTAATTTTTTTTTTCTAAAAATGGGTCAACAGAAATATGTGTGTCGAAGACCATACGACATATGTATTATCCTTTTTGGAGACATGAATGTTTGACTGATGTTAATCTCTTCTCCCCATAAAATCATATTGTGCCATAGTACCGAATGATTAATTACATTAATTACATTATTCAATTTATATGCTATGAAGCTTGGGGGAATAATTTTGATTGAATTTTTATTCAGTTCATACCCAAACATTGGTGAAATTATTAATCATTGAGTAGGTAAAAGATCATAAGATTCAAACCGTTATATTTCATGAAGCACTTTATTATAATTGCGGAATAGTAGGCACTAAATTCTCAGAAATGACTGATGGTTTTGCCTCAATCTCTCTCTTGTAGTAGCACACGGAAATTATAATAAACAGATGAGGAAAAACTGTGATAAAATATATATAATCACAACCTTTACAACGATGTTTTCGTTTTAATGAAAAAATATTGCTGAAAATATTATGTATTGTGTACTATAATCAGGAATTTAGACAGTATGAACATCTCTGGAAACGCTATTGTATAGTGAAACCTCACAAGTGTTTTACTTGAAAATCTCAATACGGTCAATCCGATCACATGAATTAGATTATGATCAGTTTCATCATTTTCACGCCCTTTGTTTCTAGTATGGAAATTTGTTTACAAAAATCTAATGAGATGTGTTAGGAATCACACGCCAGAAGGTAAGACCTCGTTAATCTTCAGGTCAACTTTTGAGAGTTATCGTTAGTAGGGGGGTGACAGTTATTTAACGGGAAAACAGATTTCAACAGATTATTAAACATCAAGATTTACCAAACAGTTCATATTTGTTTCAGCGAAGATTGAAAAATATACCAAATTTAACCACCTCAAATATACAATGAGGGAAGCTCTGGAGAAACTGAATGACTTGGTAGATGAAAGTGATCCTGACGTAGACATCCCAAATATCGTCCACGCTTTCCAAACTGCAGAAAGGATTCGCAAGGATTATCCGGACGATGATTGGTTTCATCTAACAGGACTAATTCACGATGCTGGAAAGGTATACATGCCTCTTTTTTTTAGCTATTTTTGGGGAACAAGAATAATCTATTTTCAGATCAAGAGTTATCAGTGGATATTTTTGAAGTATTCACCAAAAACTAGAATTGTCAAATTTCGTTTTATTACTCTACCACCTCCATTTCGATCGATACAAAAAGAGACAGATGAACTTTTGTAACTGATTCATATCAACCAATTTGCAGGCGAAGTTTCGTTCGTTAGATTTCTTCATCAACTTCTTTTTTTTAATACGGATCTCTAGATTTTTCATCGATTTTTGTAGCCACTGTGATAACAGATCCAGCTATGTATTACAATATACGTGTTTCCCGGCCTTCTTCATCAAAGACAAAGTATTCGTCTCGACTTCCATCAATATTGACAAATCGAAAGACATAATTTGATAACAGGGTATAAATGAAATGAAATAATTTTCTAATTTTATCACCAACAGCGAACCCATGAAGAAATTCATTGAAAAAGAAGAGAAAAATTCCCAATTCTCAATCTGAACACAAAAAATACATCTCACGTTATTGCAGTGTAGATCCAGGTGACCACACGTGGTGAACCACCCCAAGCGCGTCCCACTGTCCTCCGACATTGCTCACAAGCCACGTATGCTCTTTTTGCTCTGCTCTGTAGATGATAGTTCCATGTTAGCTTCCTGTCGAGGATAGTACCAAGGTATTTTTACTAAAGAGTAATAATTCGTTATTGAAATTTCAGGTCCTGGCATTTTTCGATGAACCACAATGGTGTGTTGTGGGAGATACTTTTGTCGTTGGCTGTGAATGGAGCGATAATATTGTGTATAGAGAGACATCGTTCAAAAATAATATTGATGGAAAAAACCCTAAATATAAACGTCATTCAATGTATTGAGACAACTTTTTCCAAGTAGACACCTTTTATTGAAAAGTCTGAAGTTGAGTCTCTGTGAAACACTTATTTGTTGTGTCAGATTTTCCTACGGTATCCGAAAGTATGATCACATAAGTCCGTCCTTTCGAGATTCTGGATGGATTTCACTCAAATATCTAAGAGCAATCCATTTGCTTAGTTTCAAGCGTAGAATTTTTGTTTCGGAATATCAGCAGACCGGTTTCGTAAAAATTGAAATTCTTCAGAGCATAATTTCTCGAACTATGCTAAAGCGAACCACAAACAACATGTTTGTCATCGCCCCATCTACCTGTGAACGAGATGACCAACCGCATATCTGAATTTGCCCAAATTTCTCGTATAATTTGACAATTTGAAGTATTCTTTACTGAAATTCCAAAATAGTAGGCACTATATTCTCTAAAATAACTGATGTTTCTGCCTTAATTTCTCTCTTGCAGTGGCATACGGAAATTATATTAACTAGATGAGGAGAAATGATGATAAAATGTATAGAATAATAACCTTGACAACAGTGCCTTTGATTTTTATTGCAATAATATTTCTGAAAATTCAGTGCCTGCTATTATGGAATTGTACTGTACTATATCTACGGGTACATTCGTGAAAATTCTTTCACTAATCACTGAGTTTTCAATTTTGATATTTTTCAGATTGTGGAAGGTAAAAATACCCAAAGAATGTCGCTAAAAATATCGTATTTTACTCAATTATCCCAAACATATTTTGGTTTTGACCCTGATAAAGCTAATGTTGCCATCAAACCCAATTGTAGTATCATTACAGTACAAAATATGGAATATACGAACCAAACTGTGGACTGGACAACTTGATTCTGTCTTGGGGCCATGACGAGTACTTATACAGAATGTTGTTGCACAACAAAACGAAGCTACCTCCTCAAGCTCTCGCAATGATAAGATACCACAGTTTTTATCCCTGGCACTCTTCTGGCGATTACCAACATCTCCTTGCTCCAGAAGATGAAGAAATCAAAAAGTGGGTTCTCAAATTTAAGTAAGTCGATGGTTTCTATGTAGAAGACGTTGGTCCGACTGAATATCCAGAATATAGTTTTAACGCGTTTCGAATAGAAATCAGAAGAATGACATTATCAACTCTTTGGTTTCATTGTTCAGGAATCAAATCTATGTAAATAAATGATAGTCAATTATCGCATATTCAGACATATAAAGAGTATTGTAAAAAAATTCCGACAAGATACATAAAATATTTCAATGTTAGTTTCCATTCGATATGCCCTAATAGTAAATACGCTGCCTGTTCAAAAAATAAAGTGAAATTTCACATTTCCCAAAAATATTTACTTATTTATCAATTTCTATTCTGTTCCCACCAAAGTAGCCCCCCTCCTGGGCTTTTCCAGTGGGACAATTGGACTATGGTTTCGATTTCATAGCCATGATTCGTGACCACTTATGACCGTTTCAAGCAAATTTGGGTCGCCATCGACGTCATTCAACAATTCCTGAGCGATGTTCATTCCATGTTTATTTCATTTTTCACACAAAATTGATGCAAAGTCTTTTGATCTATTTTTTCGAGAGCAGAAAATCGCCAGACAAACAAGATACTTCTAATTTTCATACCTCTACCAGGCGGGTTGGCTGTCCTTGTTCATCTTTCACTGCCTGAACCACTGTACATGTTTTTGGTAGTGCATTGGCTTGGGATGTGGAGGTTGAGCAAACCGGCCATCGGATGCCTGCTTCCACGTAGCCCCGCTGGATACGGGAATGACAGAATCACTTGTGGTTCTCTTATTCCCTAACTGAATGACATCCCAACGATGGCTTAATCCTAAAGTGTGTGTATCCGTGGCGAGAGGATGAATAACACTGAGCCTATCAGCTGTCTCTACGGAACCTTCGAGATATCGGGCGCCCTGTCGTCGTTGCATCGCCTTGTCACGGTAATGCGGGGCTCTGCCGTGATTGAACTTCTCTCCCTAGCTACTCGTGGGACCTTTATGGACAGAGTAAACTTTAAAAATTCTTTCAAACGCTAAGTCTATACAGGAGTTGGATGTCGAGTTCTGTAAAATGTAATCCAGGAACGAGTCTACAGAGGAGATGGATGTCGAGTTTACGACTCCAACTGACGTCCCTGTAAACTTAATCCAGAAACGAGTGTCCATGGGAGATGGATGTCGAGTTTACGACTCCAACGGACCTCCCTGTAAATTTAGTTCAGGAGCGAGTCTACAGAGGAGATGGATGTGGCGTTTATGACTCCAACTGACCTCTCTGTAAATTTAGATCAGAAGCGAGTCTACAGAGGAGAAAGATGTCGAGTTCTGTAAAATGTAATCCAGGAGCGAGTCTACAGAGGAGATGGATGTCGAGTTTACGACTCCAACTGACCTCTCTGTAAATCTAGTTCAGTAGCGAGTCTACAGAGGAGATGGATGTCGTGTTTACGACTCCAACTGACCTACCTGTAAATTTAATCCAGGAGCGAGTCTACAGAGGAGATGGATGTCGAGATCACAACTCCAACTGTCGTCAATATAAATTCAGTTCAGGAGCGTGTCTACAGAGGAGATGGATGTCGAGTTTACGACTCCAACTGACCTACCTGTAAATTTAATCCAGGAGCGATTCTACAGAAGAGATGGATGTCGAGATCACAACTCCAATAGTCCTCCCTGTAAATTCAGTTCAGGAGCGAGTCTACAGAAGAGATGGATGTCGAGTTCACGACTCTAACGGACCTCACTGTGAATTTAGTTCAAGACTGAGTCGACAGAGGAGATGGATGTCGAGCTAACGACTCCAATTGACGTCCCTGTAAATTTAGTTCAGGAGCGAAAGTTGCGGCGAATGCAGAATCTGTCTCAGGTGGGAAAACTAACCCCCCATGAGCGGGTTAGTAAACGTTTGCGCTCAAGTGAGGTTTTACCAAAACCAGAGGCGAAAAAGCCCTGTACGGCTGAATCTAAAGCATCGTCAGGTGTAGCGGACGTGCAAAAACCCTCATATGGGAAGGTTGTCGTGGATATCAAGGTGGGAATCTTGCAACTAGTCTATCTGACTACCTCATTAACAGAGCATATACTTTGTTTCTGCCCCGCTGGGGACCGAAATAGGTCTTTAGAGTTCGGCAGAGCCGTACTCTTACTATCTGACCTGAAAGACCACTAACCATATAAACTAATCGGCTTCCTTAAGAAACTGGGTTTGTTTGGCCGAGTGAGAATAGGTGTGAGCCACAACAAACCCTTGCGGGTTGCGGTGTAGGCTCGAATAGACCCACTCACTTTGGACGTAACCTAACCATTCCTCTACCAACATAAAAAAATCGCTAATCGGATGTACGTATCGCGCGAAATTTAAAAATTCACCTTGTTCTTTGAACAGTCAGCGTAATTTTTATTTCAATGTGTGAATTGTTACTGGTATGCTTTTTTAAGATCATTTTGTAGTATCCAAAGTTATCAAACACAATACTTCGTTGTCCATTCTCCAACTTCTATATTTTTGGAAAAACCTAATTCCCACACCTTTTCCAAGTAAAAAAGGTACACCTCCTCAACAACGCTGGAGGTGACCGTTTTCGAAATATAGACTTATAGACTTTTCTTCTCAAAACTGTCTCTGTTACACCCTGTATATGAAGTATGTTCAAAAAATAAGGTGAATTTTAATTTTTCCCACAAAACAATAATTTATTCATCAATTTTGTATTTTGTCCCCTTCAAATATAATGATAATTAGTGATGAAATTGATAATGAGGGTAGATCTTACTTGAAATAATATAAAGTACCAGGTAGTTTTTGTGATTATTAAATTATATCAATAGACATGAACTCGAAATTTTCTGCTCTAGTCTCCTAATGATTTAAGTTTTGAGTGTTTTAATAAAATAGAATTGTTCATTGATGCTGAGTTGTTGAGACAAATTTCGAAGCGTAACTGCATTTCCTCAAGTTGTACCATTTTGCGTATATCAATAATAACTTGTTTTTCTCAAACTACATACATACGATTCCCGTTTTTTTTACTTTTCTATATTTTTATGTCGTTGTTTCTTATGTTTCATCCGGCGTCCTTTATAATCTTCGAAGCAGTTATTATAAGAACTTTTTGATATTTCCTTGAGCTCTTTCTGCGATGTGGTTTCAATCTCCTTCCTTCCGTGAGTCTCCTCAACTTCTGGAACAGAAAAAAGTCAAAGGGAGTGAAATCTGGCGAATACGGTGGCTGAAGCATGATAACGGTGTTGTTTTTGGCCATAAAATTACAAACAAGCTATAATGAGTAAACAAGTGCTTGAGTTGTAAATGCCATGAATTGTTTTTCCACAACACCCATGATCATTCAACAATTCTTGAGCGATGGTCATGCGACGTGATTTGACGATTCTCCATAACAATTTTCTTCAAATTCCATTTTATTAAAACACTCAAAACCTACATTTTTTGC